AAAAGTGAGGGGGAAAGGAATCGGGGTTGGAGGAGAGAGAAAAGTGACTTAGTATTACCAGTGTTGGCACAGATGAGGCCGGAGTAGTAGTTAGATTTGGCACATAAAAGGGAGTCCTTATAGTGTAAAATATGGGCTTTATACAGATCCCTGTGAATGGAGAGTCCAGATTTCCTGAAGAGGCGCTCAAGTTGGCGGCCTTTGGTTTTCATAGTCCGGAGTTCAGGGGTAAACCAGGGGGCAGTGTGAGAGAATGATACAGTCCAGGTTTATACTGGGGCAAGGGAGTTGAGAATATTAGAAAGGGTATTGTTATATAATGTAGCAAGCTCCTTGGGGGAAGAAGAGCCAACAGAGGTCCCAAAAGAGTCAAGACTGGAAAGTAAGGCATCCATGTTAATGTTCTTAATATTCCGGAAGCAGATGAGACAAGACGGCCTCGTACTGGAGAGACAGATTGCAGCATCAAATGAAATGAAGAAATGATCTGTGATGGGGAGTTCATCAGCTGAACAGCTGGATGGAGTGAGCCTGGAGCAACATATTAGGTCCAGGATATGTCCTTTAATATGGGTGGGAAAATCTATGAATTGTTGAAATTCAGAACTGTCAAGGCCTGATGAGAAATCTTTGGTAAGAAGAATTTTGTTATTGTCCATATGTATATTAAAGTCCCCCAGCAGTATTACATTTGGTGATAGAGTGGCTAAGTGAGTGATGAAGGTTGAAAAGTCATTTAAAAAGCCAGAATGTGAATTAGGAGGACGATAAATTACAGCAACAATAATAGGAGAAGGGCCAGTAAGTTTGCAAACAAGGGATTCAAATGAGCTGAACATGGGTACAGATACTGGCTGGACTTTCCACTTGTCACGATAGATTAATGCAAGCCCTCCCCCGCGACCTGAGTCACGGGGTTGACAAATGTAAACAAACCCAGGAAGAGAAGAGTCATTAAGATGTGACAAGTCCCCTGGCTGTTGCCAGGTTTCAGTGAGGCACATAAAATCCAACTTACGGTCAGTGATAAGGTCCCGGAGAATGTGGCCCTTGCTCATTAAAGAGCGAATGTTAAGGACGCCAAATTTAGCAGAGCTGTGATGCATGTCGGAGGGGCTAGCCACCCTGGCTAGGTTGGCCAGCACACTGTGATCCACAGCCCGACGAGTGCCTCTAGTTGGATGGTGAGAAGAGGACCATAGAGAGGTAATTACCTTAGAGTTATCATGCTGGAAGTTGCGCCGGGAACCACGGTGAATATACTTTCGACGAGGTAGAAGAGCAATGTCAGGGTGGAGGTAAAGCGCTGCCGGCGAGGGCACAAACAGCTGACCGCGTAACCGGAGGAGCTCAGCTGCCGAGTAATGGATCAAGCCTACCACAGGCTGGTAAGCAAGTTACAGCAAAATCCAAGTTAGTGCCGACCAGACAAAGAGCTTATAGAGCCACATCATGAACAAAACAACAAGAGAAACCACAATTACATAGAGCAAAAAGAGAGCCTCCGTGAGTAGCGGCAGCAAAACGCGCCAGCGTCCACACACCGGAAGTCAATTCTGTGACCACTTGTACTACTTACTTACCTGTACTACTTGTAAGGTTTCCATGGACTAACCCATTTCCTTCTGTCACAGTTCAGTGCTGCGTCTTTCATTCTTGCACTTAATTGTTTTTCCCTTCCACAGTATTGACGCAAAATGTTGTTTTATCAAAACAGCTGCTCTGTCTTCCTGAAGTTAGAGCTGTACAGAAGTCTCAAGTCAGTGAAAGTGACACAGAAGTCTTCAATGAGAAGTCTTTGGAACCAGCTCAAGACTCCTATGGTATGAAGCCGTCAGAGCTGTTACCTTGAATATCAGCTTTCTTT